GTAACAAGCCAAACCCGTAGCAAAACATGAACACCAAGTGCCTCTAGATGCAAACACTCAAGCAATACACTTAGATTCACTCTCAATCTCACAAAGATGATGAATCAATGATGGATTTGAGTGGGAGAGCTTTGGCTAAGCTCACAAGGTTGCTATGTCAATGCAAATGGCCAAGAGAGTGAGCTAGACCTAGCCATGGGGCTTAAATAGAGAGCCCCCATGAATAGAGCCATTGGCTCTCTGTTCCCTAAAAAATCAGAGCGACCGGACGTGCCGGTCAGATTGACCGGACACGGGACCCCATCGTCCGGTCCTCAGATTTTTGCCACGTGTCTCCGGCTTCCAATGCTGATCGCCCAATCTCAATAGTCATCAGTGCACTCAATAGTCCGGTCGTTTCTAGTAAGGCACCAGAGCCAGTTTTTCATGACTGAACACGGACCAGAGTCCAGTCCTTACTGTCCTATTCAGATGCTTTTGTCAGCGTACATCATCACCTGACCGGACGCACCCCTAGCGCGTCCGGTCCTATTTCTTCTTAGCGTTCGGTCAAAGGACCGAGGGCGGCCTTCACTGCGCACCACTAACCGAACGCAGGGTCAGAGTCCGGTCACTGCCCAAGGCAGAGTCCAGTTAGGACCTAAAACTTCACCACCCTTGATCAAATGTGCCAACCACCAAGTATAACACTTCGTGCATGTGTGTTAGCATATTTTCACAAACATTTACAAGGTGATAAAGCACATGAATGTGGAAACATAAATAAGTTAAAGAATGCAAACTACCACATGATGATGATCATTTTTTACCGAGGTATCAGAAAGCTCATGCCTTCCACTAGTCCTTGTTGGAGCCCCTTGCAAGGGATAAGCTCCTTCTTGGGTAACTCATTGGATAGCCCATGAGCCTTCCCAACATGCAAGTGGGCGTCTGTGTGTCCTCTCTCAGACTGTTCTCCATCGTCGTCACTATGTAGAGCTTTGCCAAGACATAGAGGGCATCTCGTCCCTCGTACACCATCATCGACCACACCACAAACATGGTTGGTGTGATCTCATAAGATTACAAGTCCCTCGGAGTACACTCTTGGGGCATGCAAGCATAGATATCGCTAAGGTGTTCAAACCTCAATAAACACTAGATCTAAACCTTGAGCAAATGTTATATGTGGTCTAAACTAGCATGAGAACTACGCATAGCACTTTTGCTAATCATCTAATCTTTCCTTGATCACTTTTGGTGGCAAGAGCACTAATGGATGAGCTTCAACTCAACTATGTCTTCAACCAACTCACACGCACTTCAAATGCCTAGTGGGCACTGTTCGCCTAAACGGCCGTTTAGCCCGTTTACACACCGTTTAAACGCTACACGGTGGTACACCATTTCCGTTTAATCGGTTGTTTTGACCGTTTAAACGGTCGTTTTTCCTGTTTAAACACCTGTTTTGTCCGAATAATAGGCTAAACGGTTGGTGACCGACTGTTTACCGTTTAGCGTTTATAGGGTTTCATGTTTTGGCTCCCCTTTTATAGGGCGTTGTTTGCTGTCATCCCATATTACAACTTTACCCCATGACAACTGTAGTACATTCCCAGAATATTCCTACGCTAATACAAGTTGCCTGGGGCAGTTTCGGTATCTTCTCCTCCAACCGCCTTTGCTTATTGGGCTGTTGTCGTGAGCCCGTTTGCGGCCCACGACCCAACACGGCCACCCTACGGGTGCTCCTCAGGAGTTCCCAAAGCCTCCGCCCAGGGTGCCTTCGCCAGGACCTTCGCGTCATCGCTTGAGCCGTGGCCATCGCTCACGCCGCAAGAGCCTCGGCCTTCAACTACCTTCGGGTGCCTTCGCCGCCATCCTCGGACCTCCACCTAGAGGAGGCGACCGTGCGGAGGCTCCCAGCGTTTCCTACAAGTTGCTCAAAAAATTTGTTAGACGTTAGCTCTTAATGTTTATTGCGAACCTTGGCCTCCGTGACTCATAATTGTGTCCCAACAGTTCCCCCCTTTGAGGGCATGGTCTGATGATGGCGGGCCCTGTCCTCAAAATTTGGTTCTAAGGTTCTGAGGCACGGAGGCTCTGGCACATGCGGAGGCTTCCCCCCCCCTCAATGCCCACCACTGAAAAATCTGGTGCCATCGAAAAACTTCGGTGCAGTTCTCCAGTCCTGTCTGGGTGTTGTTTCTTCACATATTTTTGTCAAGGCTTCTCCTACTTGATGTGTATTGGGCTTCTTGCTTGTCTTCTAGGATCTCCAGTGCTCCTCTTTAATCTTCATTTGAGGTGTTGATTCCTTGATCTTCACCTTAGCCTAGTTGAAGTCCATTTTTGCACCCTATGGACTAATGTACCTTGTATACTCATAAACATTATTAGTCCAAATGGTTATGTTGTAAGTCAACCACCAAAATCACTAAACCCTTGCAAGGGTCCATATTTCTTATGGTCCCAGCATAGATGATGTCAATGAGATAGAGTGACATGGTTACAAATCTGAAAATCATCAGCCCACTGATGTTAGTGATGGTTCTAAGTTTGTTTTGGGAAGCCTCGAGGTGCTAATTGATATGACAATGATGACATGGTCGATCAACTATTGCATGTGTCAATAGTGGCTTTAGTAGATATGGTCAACATTATGAAGAATCAGTCAATGTTTTTAGGGTAAAAAAGAAAACTATGGGTCAACAAGAGAAGGTACAAGATGATAAAAATTCTAAATTTGTTAGAGGGCCAAGGAAGAGAACAATTAATGAGATGATAGTGGTTTTGGCCTCTAAAAATACACAACCACAGGATGTGAGAGAAAAAATAAACATGACGGGGGAGACGACAAAAGCCTTAAACCAAGGAATTAGTTGACAATAGCTATATGCAGTTTATGTTGATGAATGCAATGCAAGTGAATGGGGCGCAATAGTACAAACAATGCTTTCAGAGACGGGCATATGTTGTTTCCAAAGGCAATAGTCTCGTCTCTCTGTGTCACAACATCTATGTAAATCATGATTTACATAGGTGCGGAATGCTCACCTCTGTAAATGCAATTATTAGAAAAAGAAATCCAACCATGTGAGCTCACTACGGAGACCCACCAAGCCTATCATGGATATCGTCATAGACCTCGTTGTTCCCTAGGGCGCTGCCACTAAGCCCGCTCCTACCTTCGCCACCACAGCTCTACTCCCCTATCACCACTACTGCCACCCGCAGAGCCTTGCCACATGTGCCACCTCTAGAAGGGAGAGGGAGCAAGCACCATTGCTGGAAGGGGATGAAACCTTTGCGCCACCACCGGATCTAGAAGGGTGTGGTGGTTGCTCCATCAGTCGTGCCCTCATCCAAGCCATTGTCCCCGTCCCTGTTGGACCCCGTCACCATGCCTTCACTCATATCATTGGCCGTGCTCCCGTTGGGTCCTGCTCCTGGATTCAAAGGGATGGAGCCCACATGTCATCATAACCTTGATAGGCCCTTTGCCGTTGGATTCAACAGAAGCGGAACCCGTGGCCCACCACACCCTTGGCGGGCCCTCCACCATCTGATCCAATAGAAGGGGTGGAGCCCATGGCTGTCATGTCCTTCCCCAGTCTCCACCAACGAATTTTGTAGAAGGGGTGCCCATGGCCACCGCATCCTTGGTCGGCTCTTACCCAGGCCTGTGCTGACAGGCCAAGCCGTCACCACGCCCTTTGCCATTCGCCAAAGAGAAGAGATAGGGTGAGGGAAAGGGGACGGTGGAATAGAAAAGAAGTTTGAACAGTGAAACCCTAAGCGCTCGTGTGTGTACACGCCTATAGTGTTGGACCATTTGGGCTTCGACCCTATTTCTTAAGACAGGCCTTCTAACAACCCCTCTAAAAGTGGCCTCTATTTTTAGAGTTAAGACGTCTTAAGAGATTCGTGTATGTTATTTTTTTTAAAAAAAAGCACAAGTGTCTCCGTAAATAGATCGATCATCTCTGAAAATTGCAAAGTATTTTTGAAAACAACGATTAATAAAATAAGATGTCCCCTAAAATCATTTCTACTAGTGGCGGCAACAATTACAAGTAAAGAAAATATACTAAGGCTTTGTTTGAATCCTATACATAGTAGTTATCTATTAATAATTATCTCTTTTAAATCCAAATAGATATAGATAATAGAATAGCTAATTGTTATCTAGACTTTTAGATAACAACTATCCCGCTAGCTAGATCAAATCAGATAATTAATGAGGTGCAAAAATATTTTTTAAGTATAAACACTCAAATGTTGCGGTGAAAAATCTAACTACCCGCACGTCCTATTTGGGTGAGCCACCTTGGTAGCCGCTAGTAGAAAGATTGTGTGATCCGCAAATCGTAGAATTTTTCCGAAAGTTGCTGAAGCTACTCTGCTTTTCTTGACATCAAGAGAGCTAAGTGTGTGCCTACTAATTTCCCTCCGGCCTTATCCTCATCAGTCCTCACCTCCTCACTCCTCTATCTCTTAGCGCACCTTTAATGCGTCGTGATCTCTCTCCTCCAATCCCGACAAAGTACACCATCGTCTCCTGTCTTGATGTTCTCTCTCTCGCTCCCTCTCTCACCCCCACCCTCGCTCCTATCATATGCTCCTCTCTTCTTCCTCCGGCCATCGTCCTCGCTGCAACGCACTAGATTTGTCGACAAACCCAACCAGAACTCCATAAAATAGTGTCGATCACCACGAGCACGCACCTCCGTCCCTCCCTCTTTCTCTCTCTCTGTCTCTGAAAAAAATTTGCCTCCAACGAAAGCACCACAAGCACAAGCCCTCGCTTCCTTGATCTCCCTCTTTTGCTCTCGCTAGCTCTAACGCCGCCGCCGACGCGCTGCCGAGCCTCCATCGCCCCACGTCATCACACCAAATCAGGTCAGCAGCCCCACAAGAACAGTTCGTAGGTCAGCAAATCCATTACTAGTACCGATATTCCTCCAGCTCCCTGAAGAGAAAACACAATCTTTGGTATTTATACCATGGTCTAATTGGCTATGGACGTCACCGGAGATGCCGGCAGAGGTCGCCGCCCCAACTTCCCTTTGCAGCTTCTGGAGAAGAAGGAGGAACAGCCTTGCTCCACGTCCCCAGCAGCTGCTGTGGGTGCTGGGGCTAATGGGTCGGCGGGGTCGGGAGAGATGCACATGAAGAAGGTGGCGCCGCCGAAGCGCACATCGACCAAGGACCGGCACACGAAGGTGGACGGGCGCGGGCGGCGCATCCGGATGCCGGCAATTTGCGCGGCTCGGGTGTTCCAGCTGACGAGGGAGCTGGGGCACAAGACGGACGGCGAGACAATCGAGTGGCTGCTGCAGCAGGCGGAGCCCGCGGTGATCGCGGCCACGGGCACCGGCACCATCCCGGCCAACTTCACCTCGCTCAACATCTCTCTCCGCTCCTCGGGCTCTTCCTTCTCCATCCCAACGCACCTCCGTGCGGCCGGCTTGCCCGGCCCACGCTTCGGCGGCGCGCGGGGAGACCCGTGGGAGCGCGTCGTAGGCCTCGGGTTCGGCGGCGCCGAGGGTCCTCCATCCGTTACGTCCTCGGCGTCGTCTCCGCTGCTGCTGAGCTTCCACTCCGGCGGCGTCGGTCTTGACGTGTCACCGTCGTCGTCATCTGCTGCCGCCAGCTCCGACCTGTCCAAGAAACGACGGTGGGAGCAAGAAATGCAGCAGCAGCAGCAGCAATACCAGCAGCAGATGGCCGGGTACACGCAGAGCCAAATGCCAGGCACCGTGTGGATGGTGCCGAGCAGCAACGCCCAGGCCGCAGCAGCTGCTGGCGGAGGCGGCAGCAACGAGTCGATCTGGACGTTCCCACAACCAGGAAGCGGCGGCGGCGGCAGTGGCGCGGCGACCGTGTACCGCGGCGTGCCGAGTGGGCTACATTTCATGAACTTCCCCGCGCCGATGGCGCTGCTCCCCGGCGGGCAGCAGCTCGGGCTCGGCGGCCCCGTGGGCGGCAACGAAAATGGCGGCGCCAGCGGCAGCGGAGGCGAGGGCCACATGGGGATCCTCGCCGCACTCAACGCATACCGGGCACATGCCGTCTCGGACGCTGCGCCGGCGGCGCAGAACGGAGCGGGAGGCGGCTCTGGTCAGCACCATCAGCAGCATGGCGGCGGCGGCGGCGAGCGACAGGAGAGCATGAGCCCCAGCGACGACTCGTAGGTCTTCGGAGGCGTGTGCATGCACTGGTCTGCTAGCTAAGGCGTCCCTCCTGTCGTTAATCTGTGCTTCTTGACTTATCCTTTGCGGTTTTTTTGGTTTGCATTGTTATGGTCTTCTCTGGCTCCTTCACATTCTTGCAAGGATCATACAGAGTTTAACTCACTTCATGGCATCTGGGATAAAATCACTCTGCGCATTCGTTTTGCAATTAGTGTCAACAATCACATCAAGAGAGAAGACGATAGCGGAGAATCCATGGAGGAGAGGATTTGAATTGTTACGGTTTTGACGGGCATGGCGAAGACCGAAGAGAGACATGGACAGCCATGTATATATGACACACTCCATTGCCTAATGTCCAACCATGCATGATGATCCTTCTTCTGGGATTTACTCCAGGTGATTACTGATGCCTAAGCTAAAATACCCTTGTGTGTCTCCCTCTCAGCTCTCCATTTTCTTGGAGCACTCAGAGACGTTGTAGTAGTAGTGTACCACCTTCTGTCCTAAATCATAGATTGTTTTGGCTTTTTTAAATACATAGTTTTTCTATGTATCTAAATATACGATGTACGTGTCTAAATACTTAATAAAAAATGTATATCTAGACAAGGCAAAACGATCTATAAATTACCACGGAGGGAGTACTAGGCTACTGAAGTGGTAGCTAATAACTTAGGGCAAATCGAGCTCATCCCCAAAAGTTTTAATCCAAATTGTGCATTTATATATACCCGCAGGGGTCTCTTATAGACGCCAGTTTCTCCTTTCGTTTGAATCGCGTTGGCACCAAAATTATGCTGCCGAAAACGAAACACGGCTATAGTGACACCACCCAACAGCAACACACACCAGACAGCAGCCATGTTGGCACATTCTATATTTCTATATATTAGCTAGCCCAGCTACCAGCAGAGAGGTGATCAGTGATCACGAGTAGAGTTCACCACCGTACCGACAGCCCCGGACCCGGCACCGGCTAGAGATCGCAATCACATTAGTATTACACATCACGACCATGACCCGTTCCAAAGCAGTAGGTTTCCAACCCGGCGACGCGCGATCGCGGGCGTGGATCGGACTGGCAGGAGCGGGCACGGCAGCTGCGTCTCTGCACCAACCAACCATGGCCCCCGGCCCCGCCTCCGTCCGTCCCAAGCTCTTGTTGGACTGATAATCGTGCGACGAGGAGGACGAACGGACAAGAGCGGGAGACGCGAGAAGTGCGGTGGTTCACCGCAAGACGCTCAGTCAGCAGGCCGGTCCCTCCCTGGCTGATCCGCGGGCGAGAGCTGCCGGGGAGCGAGGGAGAGGACCACATGACCAATAAATTTCAGCCCGATCGACAGGGGCTGGTTGGCTGGGCTGGCTGATCAGCCCCTCATATGAATATGAATATTCATACATGAACCAAGTAGGCGATTTTCTCTCACATAAACGAACCAAAGAACGACGAGAACCTCAACCAACCAGGGCAGGCTTAAAACCGAACGCACAGGCGCTGGTGGCTGTAGCTGTACTGGCTACACCTGCGGCGGCGGCAGCCGCAGGACGCAGCAGGAGCGCGCGGAGTGGCCCTGCGATCCAGTAGGGTTGTAGGTCTTATAAGTCGTATTTTTTTAAGTCAATTAATAGTATTTTTCTCTCACAACAAATCGGCCCACGCGCGGGCGGCCATGGCTTATGGTGGCGAACAGGACAAGCACCTTTGGCTTATTTGATGGGAAGTTGCTGAAAACACCTAGTTAACGGCGGCGGTTGCCGCAGGACGCAGCAGGTTTGTGCGAAAAAAGAGTGGCCCTGCGATAACTGAAACCGATCAGCGGTTATTTATTGTCTCCCGCGGCTGGGGCCCGTGGCCCTGCAGATCCGTCTTGGCACGCAGCTCTGTGTCCTCGCTCTTCGATCGCACGTACGCACGGTGTAACACCGACGAAGTGTGCCGCAGCACGTTCCATTTGTATCAAATGCCACGCATGGTCCAAGTCCAAGTGGCTGGCCGGCCTATGCATGACTGCGTTTGTGGATCGGATCGGATGTCGTCCTACTCGTACGTAGTCGTAGAGGTAGACTGGTAGATGCACACGTGCACCCGTGACTCGTGAACCGTGGTTGGCTAGCTACGTATATATACGAGCTGGGACGATGTTGCAAGCTTGAGGTTGCTGATCGGTCTAGATTCGAGAACGAGCGACGACAAGTTGGGCTTATATACTAATAAAAGCTGTTTAAAAGTTCAACTAGAGTTATTTAAGCTCGTAATCATGGTTTGCTTGTGTCACGTTAATTAAGAAAGCTTATTTTAAAGTCACTTAAACATCATCATTACGTACGTGACTACTTAAGTTCAATTAAATTAACACGTCATATGGCTTAGGTTTCTATATTATACCATAACTCATATATTAATATTTTCATCTAGAACACTCTTAAAACTCCTTAAATGGCCATGCATTCTGCATTTCATCCATTAGATGAATCACATGTCATATGTGTACATTATTTTAGTATCTATGAAAATTTTGAGCTTGTTTTGAACTCTTTTAAATTTGATTTCGCATTAAAACCTAATGTTGAGCATGTGCTTTGTTAAGAGAGTTTAGATTTCACCTGAGCATATATCTTGGGAAATTACATGACAAAATACTACTTTGCAAACCAATAATTTAGACGATTTTTCCTACATTTTTAGAAACCTTTTTAGGGCTAAACAGTTTAACCAAAAAAAATCAAATATAGCATTCCAGGAAGAATTTTAATTTCAAAACTAAGGCTATAATTCATGTCAGTTCCACAAAAATTGGTCGTGCTTGGTTTTTAACATCTACTTGAAAAAATACAAATTTCTTGGAAACAGGTCCTTTGTTTTGAATGACAAGAAAAAAAATAGCTTAGGAAAATACTCAAATATAGCATTATGTGAAGAATTTTAGTTTCAAAGTTACAACAGGTATGATACCAGATCAAAGCAAAATGGATCATCCTAGATTTTAACATCTACATAAAAAAATTCAACATTTTTGGAGGTCCCGAGGTCTTTTGTTTTGGACTGCCAAGAGGAGGTAAGGAGCATGAGTCATGGCGTGACTCGCGGTAGAGTCATGCGATTGTGTCACTTAGCTACCACATCAGAAGCTCACGTGAAAAATGTTCTACAGACGCCAGCGTGTCGATTTAGTCACGCTAATATATATGGTGTGACTGTAGGCAAGTCGCACCATAGTCATTGGCGTGACTAAAAGGGTTGTTTCCTACAAATCTAGTTTGGGATATATACTTTTTAACATATTAGTTTTTGGCTAAAATAAAAATCAAATTATGAGATACATTAGTTTAATCTTATTTTACATTTTTTAGTAATATAAGACACTGCCCTGTCAATCCGAGCTCCTGCACGGTTTCAAAGACACAAGCATTTAAAATTTGAACTAAATAAATTTAAAATCTCGTCCAATACTATAACTTTGGTTTAGGTTGTCTATCCATCTAATGTAGTTTCAAAAAATAAAAAAATGAGTTTTAAAATCAGAGAACTTAAAACAGGATTTTTGAACCATAAATTATTTCAAATGGAAAAAAATTCAACTATAAAGTTTGTCTTCATTTGACTTGATTTAAAAAAGTTATTAATTTTACTGTGTTACACCTATTTTAGAGGTGGGTCAATTTGCCAACCACCTCAAATCCATTTCTAGAGACAGGTGGCTTTCCCGGTCACCTCTAAAAATACGTAAATTTCTAGAGGCAGACGGAAAGCCCAGCCACCTCTAAAATGCTATTTTTGAAAACCATTGGTTTTCCAGCCACCTCTAGAAATAGAGAGCATTTCTAGAGGTAGTTGATCTTTGCTTCTAAAAATCAATTTCTGAAAACAGATCGTCACAAAGACTATTTTTAGATATGGTTCTTAATAGAGCTGTCTTTATAAGAAAAAAGAGCGCCTTCAAATTAAAATATAGTTTTTATAGTAGTGTTAACTTCAAACGAGGGATGCAGCCCTCTCCTTCTGGCCACCGGAGATTTTTACCTAAGAGAAGGAGGAGCCCCAGCTCAGGGGCGGCGATGGCCTCCTCAGTTTGGTGGCGACAGCATAGAAGCCTTGTTACGAGCTAGTTCGTTTCACCGGTCATGAAAGGATACAATTTGAGATCGATAGTGTACGTACTATATCTACATATATTCTTTTATATAACAGTCAATATTAATAAAGTTTGACTTGGACAAACAACAAGGAGTGGTATTCATGATTAGAGAAAGTAGTGTTGATTGAAAGACTATTTTTCTTGCTCTCTTTAGTCGATGTGTGTCCCGGCCCCCACTCTCTCCACTATACGCTCTGTTCGCTTGGCTTATAAGCCGTACTTTTTCAGCCAACGAATCAGCCAACAGTATTTTCAACCATGGCTTATCAGCCAAGCGAACAGGGCAATAGTTTCTTGCTCTGTCCCCATCATCATACTAACCAATAGCCAATTGGTTTCAGATGGTCTAGCTGTCTAGGTTCTTCCATAACCCAGGGCATTGGACTATTGGAGGACTATGATAGGAGTAATGCAGGATAGGAGAATATATAACCTTACAGTCTACACAATATTCGAACGGCCATCTTCTCAGTGTCCGTACAATGAGTTTGCGTGGAAAGCTAAATTGAACTCTTATGGTTTTCACACACGCGTTACACACACATATCGCTTGCATATATTGTACGGAGTACCTCCCTTTCGGTAAAGAAACACTAGTTGAGAGTTGGAATCAACATATAGACGGATTGAATTAGGGTTAACCACTTAACCACCATATGCCTGGCACTGATTAGTAGGTCATCCCCATTGCATGTTATTGTACGGAGTAAACTTCCAGTGTTTTCTCTTTCCGTAAAGAATAAATAACTAGTTGAGAGTTGGAATCAACATATAGACGGATTAAATTAGGGTTAATATGCATTAGGACACGGCCATGGGTATGCCTAAAGATAGTTATCAATTATGATTTGTTAGTTC